GCACTCATTCCATCTCCCTGCACTTCCCCTGCAGTACGCTCACACTTTGGGATCCACTGGTCTAGCGAGTTTTAGCTAGCATGCAAACACTATTTTTTGACAAGCTAGAGACCAAACCAGACAGATTAGCGAACATACAGAGCACAGATGGGTTAAAACCAGTGGTCATCAAAGGCCATGAAGCATATGATTATGGTTACCAGACTAAAGAGCATAGTCCCAAAGTATTGCATGAACCCAGAAATGATGTGTCCCATAGTTACACAAATCCATGTGGAGAAGTTTCCCCAAACGAGTCATTGTAAAGTCAGGAAATGGTTTGATAGGCAAAAGGAAAAAGCATAGCAGAGGTGCAAACAAAACTAACTACAAACATACAATTACTGCATTACCTATTACTATGGAATATGCTGGTTTTTATTTTTGGGTCTAGCTGATGTGCAAAGCTCATGCCGGAGTGGATGAGATCTTATATACAGGCATCAATAGCCACTGCTGATGGTTTTGCTCTTCAGACCATGCATGCGACACAACAGCATTTCCTACTTGTGTCTTTTGAGCACAAGCAAGTAATGACCACAATTTTGTACAGCACCAAACCCCAAACATTTCTTTCTGTAGTTACTTAATGAAATTTAACGTTAATGCTTGATATACAAAGAACGCAAACTACAGCTATGGCAAATAAGGAAAACCCAAATGTAGTAGTACTTGCAACACTAGTCCATCATTACATCAGTTTAGCAGTCCTATTTAGAAATCTGGATAAACAAACATTTCCTGTGATGGAACCATGCTGTTCCTACAGAAATCAAAAATGATTAACTACAGAAAAGACATCCTTACTAGAAATGTTTCATGAAACAGGCAAGTGTCAAGTAAGATGACAAATAATATTCCCACCTTTTAAAAAAATGAAAAGCAAACAAAAAAAACAAAACAGGTAGTCAAGAACCTTTATTTGTCCATATGTGTGCCACTCAAAGATGGGGTAAAGACATGGAACAAGATCTGACCACTTAAGAGGGCAATCAAAATATGGATCAAAGGTGGTGTAACTTTTTTTTTTCCTTTTTTTAAACCTTTAGTTTTTCTACAATGAGACAGGCTGATGGACAGGGAAATTAAAAGACAGCAGTAACAGCATAAACATATATTCATATACAGAAAAGCAAAACAGAAATTACCTAAAGTCCAAAATAAAATGTTGGTTAGTATGCAAACATAGGGAGAAGAGCCAAACCTTTTTCTTCTATTACAGCTCAACATACATTTCTACACAGCATGCAATAAGGCACCTATCTAACACAATGAAAAAGCCTATGCTATGAGTTGAAGCACAATTATTCAAAAAGAAAAAAAAAGTTCAATATAATGTTCACTCCCATAAAAACAGTATTCCTCTTTTCCCTTTCAGATTACCCAAACCATATTAAAAAAATACATCAGTATGTAAAAGATCTTTCCCCATACACAGTACTTTAAGTAGAAAGTGTATCTTCATGGAATTTTGAAAGAAATGAAATCAAGAGCAAGCTATTTTTATTGTACTGATAATTACACACAATCTATTACACTAAATTTTGATAATTTGCGGCATGTATCCAGAATATAAGTTAACTACA